CGTGGCCAGCCACAGTTCACATCCTAGACCCAGAGGCTTGAAACTCATTTTGGAAGAGTGTGTGTGTGTGTGTGTGTATGTGTGTGTGTGCCTAAAATCTCAGGAGAGATTGGAGAAGGGATTATAGCCTGATCCTCCTCTTTGCGGCGTGATTTCTTACTTTCCTTCTATCTTGGTCTGTCTCTCTGGTGAGCACATGCACTCTATGGCAAAATCCTTGAAAAATAAAAAAGAACAGCTTTCTTATTTGCCTTTCATCAAGCTCACATCTCTGGATCCTCAACTGCTTTTCTTATGAAAGAGTCACTGCATCTCCCAAATCGGTCCCTGATCTGCCAATGTCTCCCTGAAAATATGGCAACCAAATTCTAGTCTCAATATAAAACTGAATTCTCTGGACATTTTAATGTTTAATTGAGATTGTTATATGAGGGACCAGCAATTAGCATAAAGGCTATGTCGCTGGACTCCCACGTAGTCAACCGCAGTTTGAATCATGGACCCTGTGGCTTAAACTCAACACTGGGTGCGTGTGCGTGCGTGCCCAAGATCCCGAGAGGAGAAGAGAGGAGAAGAGATTGCAGCGTGGCCATCCCCTCTGAGGAGTGATTTCTCGCTTTCTGTCTCTCTGTCTCCCTCTGTCTTTCTGGCGAGTGCATGTTCCCTATAGCAAAAAAAACTCAAAAGAGACAAAGACAGGCAGGATGGGAGGCAAGCTGCTATCTCCATCACTGGGGACTAAAACCTCCCTTCTCTGTTGCCCTGGTGTTTGTCTCCTGACTTCTGCTTCCCAGCCGTGCCTGTCCCCGTTAATGGACAGCCTGTGTGTATTGCAGGAGTGGAGATGAAGAAGATCACAGACGCCCACACGCCGTCCGGCCTGACCGTGAACCTGACGCTGTACTACATGCTCTCCTGCTCACCAGCCCCGCTGCTCAGCCCCTCCCTCAGCCGCCGGGAGAGAGAGCAGATGGAGTCGACGCTCAACTACGAAGATCACTGCTTCAGCGGCCACGCCACCATGCACGCCGAGAACCTCTGGCCGGGGCGGCTGACCTCTGTCCAGCAGATCCTGCAGCTGTCCGACCTGTGGAAGCTAACCCTGCAGAAACGTGGCTGCAAGGGGCTGGTGAAAGTGGGTGCCCCGGGCATCCTGCAGGGCATGGTGCTCAGCTTCGGGGGGCTGCAGTTCACAGAGAACCACCTCCAGTTCCAGGCCGACCCCGACGTGCTGCACAACAGCTACGCGCTGCACGGCATCCGCTACAAGAACGACCACCTCGACCTGGCCGTGCTCGCGGACGCCGAGGGCAAGCCCTACCTGCACGTGTCCGTGGAGCCCCGCGGCCAGCCCGTCAAGGTCTATGCCTGCGAGGCGGGCTGCCTGGACGACCCCGTGGAGCTGACCTCGGCGCCTGGGGGCCACACCTTCTCGGTCATGGTGACGCAGCCCATCACACCGCTGCTGTACATCTCCACCGACCTCACGCACCTGCAGGACCTGCGGCACACGCTGCACCTCAAGGCCATCCTGGCCCACGACGAGCACATGGCCCAGCAGGACCCCGGGCTGCCCTTCCTCTTCTGGTTCAGCGTGGCCTCCCTCATCACCCTCTTCCACCTCTTCCTCTTCAAGCTCATCTACAACGAGTACTGCGGGCCCGGAGCCAAGCCCCTCTTCAGGAGCAAGGTAGGAGGTGCCGCCTTTTTGGAGACCGAGGCCCGGCCTTGTCAGTCCTGTGTTGGGGAGGGGGTAGGCCTGTGCAGGAGTGGGGTGTCCTTCCGAGCCCAGCCCCTCAGCCTCAACACCAGGGATCGAGGAGGGGCGTGTCTGAGAGGAGTCTGTCGCAGGTGGTGCTGTGGAGACCCGGTGTGAGTGGACGGGCTCCCGCCCTCCCGGACAGACTTCCTCCCACCGTGGTCAGCGTCCCCATAACTGCAGCGCAGCCCCAGCCGACTCAGTCTCTATCCCAACTGCTCGTAGGAACCCTCCTCCCCTCGAGGGCCTCACTGGTTCAGAGGTCAGTCCTCTGGGTGGGCCTCAGTTCCAGGTGGTCATCTTGTCAGCACAGGACAATGGGACATGCCATTCCCCTCCTGTTGCTGAAACACCTGCTCCCAGGAAGCCACAGGACTGTCATCTAGGATTATCTCGGGGACCAGCAGTGGTGTCACAGGGTGCTGCCATTTGCCCTGCCAGCCAGGCGCCTGTGCCTTCTCGCTCACAGGGCTTCTCAGGACAGCCCAGAGGGGAGCCCAGAGGGAATCCACTGTCAGCAGCAGAGCTGAGCTTTTCCTTTTCTCTCCCCTTCCTCATCTGTCCTCCCTCCTGCCTCGCCCCTACCCGCTCCTTCCCCTTCCCTCCTCCTCTTCTCTTCCTTCTGTCCTCTCGTCTAGCTGTGGTGACACTAGAGGGGTGTCCGAGCTCAGGAGAAAGTCCCCGTCACGCCCACAGAGGGGCTCTGGTGTCCCCAGGCCGGGACTTGCGAAGGCAGCGGCACTCGAGCTGGGAGGCAGGTAGAGTCCCTCAAGCTTGAAGAACAAATTGAGAGATCAGAAGTAATTTAAAAATAAACGAACCCACCAGAGGACACTGACAATTATTGTCTTTGATGTTAGGCCTTCTGCATGGGTGGCTTTCTGCAAAATAATCATAACCTTGCCAGGAAGGTTAATAGCTAACTTCCTGGGGGCTGGACTGGCTGGGCTAGAACAGGTGCCGGATTTGCACGGTGTGGGTGAGGCCGTCTTTGAAGCGGCCGCTGTTCCCTGCTGGCTGGCAGCGTCCCCGCTCTTGCTCTCGGTGCACCTCGGTTCCCACACAGTCGGGAGACGAGCCAGACCACCTTCAGGGGGTCCTGACCACGTCCCTTGTTGGAACGGGGCCACGCCAGAACAGCCTGTAACTCCCCCGCCTCGGCCACTGAGCCCAGTCACCGCAGCATGCCCTGGGCCAGGAGCCGTGTGCACACCTGGACCAGGACAGGGTGCACCAGGTGGCCCCCTGCTCCCGGGCCTGCTCCTCGGGGTTTCTGCAGCTGTCCCCGGGGCGGGCTCTGAGCAGTAACCACTGTGCTCTTGGTTGAACAGGAAGACCCCAGTGTCTGAGCCCACAGCCCTGCTCCCAGCACACTGGCACAGCGCCCAGCACTGAAAGCCGCTGCTCCGAACAAGGGTCCTTTGGAAGCACCCACCCTTTGTGCCTTGTTGGGGAAACGGTGACGCAGAGTGTTGTGGATTCTCGAGTCTGCATCGGAAGGAGGAGCGAGCGTCGT